GTTTAACCCATCATGGTTAATTATTGTCTATCAGTCTACTCAATTTATAACATTTAAAATGACAATGTTTGAAACTATTCAAGTTTGAATTTTTATTTTTATTTTTAAATTTTAAAAGGGAAAGCAAAATGGAGACCAACTCCTTTAGGAGATAGACTTTCATGCAACATGAATAGTACTTTTTGTTATTTCCGGCCAATAGCTTCGTGACACTTGGAATAACTTTTTCAAGTGTCATTATATTATTGGCCGCGGATAGAAAAACAGTCCTATCCCCGTTACAATAAAGATTTTTGGCTCCTCGAACGGTCTCTGTGTGTGGTTCTTTTTCTTTTTACCTCCATTAGGGATTCCCTAAAAGTCTATATCAATGATTATAAAAGAAGAGCACTGAAATGACACTAATGGGTACAGTAAGAAAGAAAGGAGTGTGAGAGAAGAAGGCAAGTGACCATCTTCTCCACTCACTCCACTCACGCCAATCACTGTTTATTGTCTTCCCAAATGCAGCTCAATCACTGAAACACTAACTAGATTCTTGGACCAAATTGGTATACAATTCCTAGCAATTATAAAAACTATCCTAACATTTCCTCAAAAATGGTTCCCAGAACCTGCATTGTCCTGATCTTTCTTCTCTGCTCATTTTCTTCTCTTGCCACAGCATTCCTCAACCTCACACTTCCTGGCCAACATCCCAACCCAGAAGAAGTTGTTCAAGAAGTTCATAGGTAAATACATAGTTTTAATTACCTCCTCTGTTTTTTCTTCCTCTGTTTTCTTCTGTTTCTCAGCCTTTTGCAGATCTGATTTGTCAATCTTAACTTCTTTTTTCCCTTTATTTTTCAGGAAGGTTAATGCTTCTTTGGCAAGAAGGCAAATGCTGCAAGGAACCATAAAATACCAGGACTCTTCATGCCTAACAGGAAACCCAATAGATGACTGTTGGAAATGTGACCCAAATTGGCCAAACAACAGGCAGAGCTTAGCAGATTGTGCGATTGGGTTTGGCCAATATGCTCTTGGAGGCAAAGGTGGTGAGTATTATATTGTCACAGACGACTCTGATGATGATGCTGTGAATCCAAGGCCAGGCACACTGAGATATGCTGTGATACAGACTGAGCCTCTCTGGATTGTGTTCCCTAGCAACATGCTCATCAAGCTCTCCCAAGAGCTCATCTTCAACAGCTACAAGACCCTTGATGGCCGTGGAGCCAATGTCCACATTGTGGGTGGTGGCTGCATAACATTGCAGTTCATAAGCAATGTCATCATCCACAATGTGCATATCCACCACTGTTATCCGTCAGGTACATGAGTTTTCCACTTCATTTCATGAATTTTTATTTACCATATACGCATGGTTTGCTCGTAGTTTAAGTTTATTCAGATTTACTTGATACCTTTGATTTACGAATGATTGCACATATTTAGTTTTATCTAATATATGTGACTTATAAATAAGATACTGAGTGTATCTAGATTTACTTTAGATTTACCTTTAAACCCTTCGCCGGGTTGTTTTTGTTTTTACTCAAAAATAATTTCGGTGTACGCTCTTGGAATTAGCTCAAGTAGCGGAGAAGGAATTTGAGAAAAATTGGTTAGGATTAGAATAAGTTAAGAATTCGATTCCTTTCCATGCAGGTGACGCTAATGTGCGTTCAAGCCCATCCCACTACGGCTACCGCACAAAATCGGACGGTGATGGGATCTCCATCTTTGGATCCAAAGACATATGGATAGACCATTGCAGCCTATCACACTGCAAGGATGGTCTGGTAGATGCAGTGATGGGGTCCACAGGGATCACAATATCAAACAACTACTTTTCCCACCACAATGAGGTGATGCTTTTGGGACACAGTGATGACTATTTACCTGACTCAGGCATGCAAGTGACCATAGCCTTCAATCACTTTGGTGAAGAACTGGTGCAGAGAATGCCAAGGTGCAGAAGAGGCTACATCCATGTGGTCAACAATGACTTTACTCAATGGGAAATGTATGCAATTGGGGGCAGTGGAAATCCCACAATAAATAGCCAAGGCAATAGATATACTGCTCCATCAAACCCTAATGCCAAGGAGGTGACAAAGAGGGTGGAGACAGCAGAAGGGAAATGGAAGGATTGGAACTGGAGATCAGAGGGGGACATTTTGGTAAACGGAGCATTCTTTGTGGCTTCAGGGAAGGGTGTTGAGTTTAACTACGAGAAGGCCTACAGTGTGGAGCCCAAGTCTGCTGTTCTCATTGACCAGCTCATCATGCATGCTGGTGCCCTTGGAGTTGGTGGCAGGTCTCTCTCTTTTTCTTTTTTGTCTCTTTTTCTTTCTCTATGCTCTCTTTTTCCCTCTTTTTTACTCTTTTTTACTTTTCTTAATTATCTATGGACTACTTTGATTATCTCCACTAAGTTCATGCCAAAATTATGGTGGGCTGATTCTAAGCTCAAACTTGAAGAAAGTTAGATCTACTTGGTTTTAGGTTGGGGTCATCTTGGGCCTCTATTTTGCTTAATTTTGGACCAAATAGGACTTGTATCATAATGTTTCACTTCTTTGATATCTCTGCATCCATGAAAATGAGCCCAAGATGTCTCTTCTTACTCTTAGTAAAAGAGAATTGAAATTGACTCAATTCATGTAGGATGTGTTTGGTAGGGTTTTTCTTAATGCTGAACCAACTTTTGAATTTACAAAAGCGCTTTTGATAATGTTTGGTAATAAACAGAAGTGCTTTTTGCGGTCAAAGAAACATTATTATCTAGTAGACAAATTTTCAAAAAGCGCGTACTTGCTGTGAATATGTAAACTCTTGGGTTGAAATGGTAAAACTAAGACCTGTGCAATGTTATACTCTGGAAGTTATGGCAATGCATGATGCAATTTTGAATGAACAGGGACAACAACCTGGGGAAGTGGAGCTCCGGATCCAACGGTGACGGAAACGGTTTAGGGTCAGGTCCAGACTATACGGATGACATGTCGGGAAGTAGCAGCAGGAACAATCCACTGCCACTTTCATCCACATCCACTCTCTTCTCCTTTTTGATCTCATTGTCATGCTTGTTATTTTGTATATTATCCCAGACATGCATTTCACAATGAGAAATAATCAGTGGTTTCAATTGCTTTTATATTTATATCATCAATGTCTCTGCATATTCAATCACGTTTGACTAAGAAGCATGTTTGGTACACAAGAGAGAAGATAGAGAAGACATAAGAGCAATATAATCTGGTGCCTTTTGCTTTAGGCTAATTATAAGTATAGTTTAATTTACTTTTAATTAGGATGAGATGTCTTCTGGCGCATATACATCTAACTCTTAGGGCATGTTTGGTACTATTTTTGAAAGAACCAAAAGTGCTTTCTAAAGAAGTCATGAATCATTTCGAAGTTTTTTTTCCAGTAAGTATTTGGATTTTTAATAAAAATTAATTTCAACGTTCTTCTAATAAAAACACTACGCACTTCTAAAAAAAATGCTTATAACTGCTTCCTATAAAAGCAGTCTCACACGAGACCTTAGCTATACTAAAAATGGACGAAGAGTGATGCAGTTCCCAGCTAGTTCCAAATCACTTTTTTTATATTGAAGTTGAACAGCTCTTTATATCCATTGGAACATTCAGTCCAGGTTACCAATTTAAATACTAATGTTTGGCTGGGTGGACAGAATGGTGATGAGGTATTGGTGGTAGGTTTTGATACCAGATAGATATTCAGCCTCTGAGAATTTAAAACTGGAATTAAGAACCTGGGTTGTGATATTTGTTTTCTCTAGGTCATCATAAGCCAGCATGTGACGTCTACTGAGGCTCTTGTTCAGTTCATGTGGGTAGGCATGTTTAATTTATTAATTCAATGCCACCTCATAATCTAGTTGCCAGATGGATAATGTTATCTTCTGCTTTTTGCTTACGCTTGACCAACTTTTTTGCTCATCAAGATTACAAGCAGCATATATATTGTCTCACTATAATGAAGAAGCAATGAAAAGTAAAGAGTTTAGAACTATATATTATTATTATCCATTTATGGATAAAAAGTAGGAGGGTTGATGGTTTGCCACAAGTTTTTTTTTTTTGTTTCTTCTTCTTTTTTGACCAATTGATAGGTTTAAGTTACATCTTGTTGGATCCTTTTTTTATTTTTTATTTTAAGGACGTTTCCTATTGATAGGGGCGATAATATAATAAACTCACACATACTACCTTGCCTGGGGAGCAATTACTCCCAACCACTACACTAGTGGATCCTTTGCGCATCTTGGATCTTCAGAGATTCATGTAATTACCAAACTTACTTGGTTAACTGATCTTTATAATTCAATGTTGGAGAGCAACTTAATTTACGGCGATGCTTTCTTACTCCCAAATGCTGCAGAATTTTTATCAGTTAAACTTGAAGGGTTAAATCACAGCCATCTTAGATTAGTTCTTGTTACTGATCTCAACTCTATTAGCAGCTTGTTTTGCTGATTAAATCTGTCTCCCACCATGCATCTTATTTCTCCAACAAAATAAATTGGTCATCGATCACTTTCTTCTTCATTGTTTTAACTCTTACTTAGCAGCTACGGTACCTTGGTAGGTCTGACCTTCGAATAACAAGAAATAACCTCTGCCAGTTTGAAATCCACTTGACAGAAAGCACATTACTGAAGTGAAGAGTGTATATATATATATATGCCAAGATTGGTTATTTTGTTCGTTCATTTGAATTATTTGGTTACGAAGTTGGATGCTTCTCTCTCTCTCTCTCTCTCTCTCTCTCTCTCTTTAGGGTGGAAAATTTGGATGATTTAGTTAAGCTTAGTCATTTTTTTCCTAACCTATTTGTCTTATATGATTATATCTACCAGCATTTACGATGATGATAGGAAACTGCAACAGTTTAGAAGAGAAAACTTGAGAAAATTTCAATTTGATAAAGATGGTTCTACATCACATACATGCATGCCACTTTGAATTACAATTTGAAGGCTCTAAGTGATCGAAGTGACAAATACTCTGGCCCATTCATTCTTGTAAGGCCATCAGCTGCGCCATAATTGTTTCATGTAGACATGCTGGAGTTGGAAGGAAGAAGTTGTGTTTCTCGTTGCAGCAACACGATTTACAATCTAGATGCTCGGAGGTCATTCGATCCGCAATTCAAAATATTAAGTGTCTGTTAGTTCATGTCCCAGAGGAAACTTGGACACTCCCATCTATTGCTGTCATCTGGAGTCCATGTCAGATGACACAAATCTGACTCTCCAGTATTACAGTCCTGATTATAGTTTATTCCACTTTGTTCGCTTAATAATTCGGATATCCAATCTGATAACCTGGTTTCGTACGGAGAATTTGTCAATGCAAATTCCGATAAACCAAGATCATCAGAGCAAGTATCCTTGGCTCCACATAAATTTGAAACAGAGTCATGGTGTTGATTAAAGTTGTACTGTTTTTCAGCACTCATATCAACTTCCTGAAAGAAAAGACTGTGCTGGCCTTTGTCTGATGTACATTGGAAGTTTCCTGCGGACAGAGCAAGTGTTAGTAATGCAGAGGAAAAAACTGTAAGTAGATAAATAACCTTAGCAGTAACATATATCAGAAAGCAGAAAAGAATGATGAAGTTCTGTACCATTTTGAATTGGTTCTTTCTTCTTTAAATATGTCCTCCAGTAATTCTTGATCTCATTATCGGTTCTTCCTGGAAGCATTCGAGCAATCTTCGACCACCTACATGACGGATTTAGTTAGAGGACCACTTATCAAAATTGGTAAACATAACTTATGCACTTAGGCAGCAGTGCTAGTAGTGCAGCATGAAGGTGGTAATGTCAAACTTGAATATGTAAAGACAAGAAAATTAAGAACCTTACTTGTTGCCCCAACGTTCATGAAGATGAAGGATTATTTTCTCTTCTTCGACAGTGATATGTTCATGCTTAAGATTTGGACGGAGATAGTTCAACCACCTCATCCTGCAACTCCTACCACTCCTCCTTAGACCTGCAGCATGTAAACAGATTCTGAATTTCTGTTCTCCATATATGTAAACTGAGTCATCTCCAAAATTAACTAATAAGAATCACATGTAATGTACATACCTGATTCTTTCGCTAAAGCATCCCACCTCCGATTCCCCTTTAGTTTTACATAGGATGTGAGTCGTTCATCTTCCTCTTCAATCCATGGACCTTTGCGCAGTTTTTCTCCTTCCATGTCTGCTTGAGAAGTCATTATTGGTGTGACAAACCAAGAGACATTAAACCTTTATATACGAGAAGCAAAGGTAACTAGGAGTTGGAGAAAAGAGAAAAAAGAGAGGGTGATTAGAACCTCTTACATGCCACACTAGGTGGACACATCACTAGTTTGTGGGAACTCCACCATTGGCTTACATAAATTCATGCTAATAAGGCAACAATTAGGTCATCCATGAAGGTGAACAGTTGATAATTCTTGTTCTATCTCCCTTCTTGCATCACATTTTTTTGTCTCTATAAGCAGATGTTGTCCTTCTATGAAAATTATATTTTTACTGCAGCATATATAGATATTTGTTGTCTCTGCCTATTTTAGAAAGTTAGCAGAGCAACATTACCAAATGATTGTATAAAAAAGAGAGGATAGAGATAATGTTTTGGAAGGTGGCCAAGCGAAGCAAGATTTTGAAATAGATTAATAGATCTTGTGGATACTTTTCATTGGCATATCTGGAAACAACTTTCGACCAGCTGCACAACACTTGATCCTACAGAGGAGGATGGGTTTGTTCTCAAATGAAACCAGAAATGATGGTCAAATTTGATAGAGACATTAGAATTGTGTTGATGATAGCGATCGGATCCAAGAACTTGATTTGGGGCTTTCATTTAATTCAAAACCATTTTACAAGCTTCAAGGGTCAAGAGCATAAGCTGCTGCCAACTTTATATGTATACATTCGTGTAGTGCATGTACAGTGAAGCGAAAGCGTTCAAAAATAACAAAACTTCACATTACTCAAAACCTCATATAATTTAAATTTAAAGTATTAATGTAATATATTGAACTAAAAGCAGTAGAGTTCTGGGGCCAAAACAACATTGAAAAAGGGAACTCCTCATGCCACAATCCAAAACAAGAAACCTCCCGCATCTGATCTATAGATACTAGGAACTACGTACATACACCTTAACTGCAGAACAAGCAAGAAGACGACACAAGGGGAGATCTTATTATGTCATTCTTCCTGAACCGGCTTCTGCTGACTGCAAGTACTTGTCCTCTTGATAACAGGAATGCATGCACTAGCGATCTATGAATGATTTATTCATGAGATTGACAGCATCATCCATGAACTGCATCATAGACATGACCAATGTATTAATTAAAAAGTCCTTCGCAAATATGGATTTTCATGTTTTATGTATGAAAGCATAGTTTGTTGTTTCCCGTCAAAACTAAGTACTTGACAAGAATCAAACAAGAGTACACCGCCAATTATCAACAACAAATAGCGGAAACTACAATTTAAGACCGAGGACTCAAAGAAAGGGTGGAGCATAAAGTATTTTCTTGCTCATTCACTTCAGAACAAGTGAAGGCATAACATTTACAGAGAACTTTTAATTTAGCACTATAAATCTTCCACTAGTCAGCTATAACTAAAACCCAACCTCCTTCCACTTTGTAACAAAAATCATAACTTTTTGGGAAAACCAGGTCTAGTCTGCATACACTAGGCCACAGCCTCAAAAGACAAGCTGATTCATTTACAGAATGCTTAACCACAGAAAACATTTGGCAGCAACGAAATATATGCATGTATCCAGTTTTGAATTTCATTATGGTTCTGCGTGAAGATCATTTTCAGAATTTTCATGGCGATTTGACACGAGAATTAATTTTTATTTCTTCAAATGATACAAGAGAACAAAATGGCATGATATTATTTTCAGCAAATCTAACCAGGCAAACCAGGAATGTTCTGTCACAAGCTGGTTTTATTATTGGGCAAATTTCATTTCATTCGTACTTTTTCCATTCCATGAAATTGGGAACCAATTCATCAGCAATTTAAGTTGGGGACAACACCATTTCTCAAGGGCATTTGCACTTTATTTCTTTCTTTCTTTCTTTTTGGTCTAAAGCTATCTGCTCTCATTACCGAGTCAAGAATGTTAACTCCAAAAGGTGAAAACAGATATGAAACATGGAAATTTACCTTTCCAAGCTGCTTGAGCTCTCGTCCAACTGGTTCCAAAAATTTCAAGTTAACTTCAATAGGCCATACCTGCATGAAAATCAGGGATCAATTAAAAGAATAATAACAAAGAAGCACAAGAGGCAAGGTATACATAATATAATAAGAAAAAACTTGATATACCTATGACACGGGCACAATATGCAAATCAAAGCATTAAGATTTCTCTATATTTTGCATTTTGAAACACCGTCTATCAAACATACCATTCAAGCACAGGATCTGCCTTCCTAAAAGTAGAAATACATGACTACATACACCTCTGGAAAAGCAGAATAAATAATTATACAAAACAATTCCAGACTTTTAATAAAGTAATAAAATTTTATGGGTAACATGAGATAGAGAAAAAAGATAGACCCTAGTTAGAACATAAAGGCAATGTCATATGCTACAAAGTTCGAACTTTACAATGAACGCCTGGTTTAAAGGTAAAAAAAGAACAATAGGCAAACTAACAACATTGGCGCCAAGAAGAAGCAGAAGTTTCTATTCTAAATGTGCATAGTTAGCAAAACATATATACGAGGAAGTTTCTATCCTAAATGTGCATAGTTAGCATAACATGTATACGAGGAAAACATACAATAACGGCCATAGCACTCTACCAAGAACTTACAGCCAGCAACTATTGGCGTGTACTTACTATTTATTCGCATATGCCACCATAGTTGCACACACAACCCACATAATGCTTAAGTTATTTGTGAACATAATTGAAGAATGGCATTACTTACATACAAATGAGGAAAATTGAACTAACCAATGAAACTATTAGTCAAAATTTGGAAACTAAGAAACTTATTGAAGGCAGAATGAACCAAATAAGTTTGCATATATTTTAGTGATGAAAAAAAAAAGGAAGAGGAGGAGGCAACCTTGACACCAAGTAACTTGATAGGTGTAACTTGTCCCGGGACAATGCACTCAGGGCCTGCCGCTTCCACTATGGCTTCCATTGCTAACCCACTTCCTACCGGGTTCGGGTGCTGCAAAATTAAACTTTTTTACGATGACCCAGAGGAGAAAGAGAAAAAAAAAAAAACAAACAAACCAATTACAATTAAAAGTGTAGAAGGAGAGTGAGGTGTTTGAGATAGAGAAAAGGAACCTTCATGACAGAGATGGCATAATTGGAAGTAGGGTTCTGGGTTATTCGGAGAACAGGGGAATGGTGAATTTTGGGTATGGGTTTGGTGTTTGAGGCCCTCCAAGGCACGTCCTTTGGCAGTGAAGAACCACCTCCTCCTCCTTTACGGGACATGCCCTTCTTTCGTAGAGAGAGAGAGAGAGTCTGTGTGTCTGGTTTTGAGTTGATGATGAATCGATGCTGAAGAAGCCACAAGATGATGGATAAAACGCTCAGGACCTGAGGTTTGTATCTTTTGGAGCGGCCTCTGTTTTTTCCTTTTCTTGTTTTTGATTTGTGGGGTTTTCTATTTTGTGACTAGGAGATAGGGGAAAATGATATATCTTTATTAGACGCTTTTCTTTTTGTCATGCAGAAATAAAAATTAAAACCTTTCAATTCCTAATTTCTTTTCATTATATTTTTTGCTTTATATCAGGAATTTCTTCTTAGTATTTTGATCTAGATAAACTGTTCTTTCGAAAAACTTTGCAACTTTGCATAGAACAGGTCAAAGCCTACATAAATTTTCAGAAGACTAAAAGAAAATTCCTTTTTTTTTCAAAATACCCAATCTGTATTTGGATCATATCTTAATCTGTTAGTTTATCTCCAGTCTTTCTATTTCTCTTAAGCTCTTTTTGAAACACATATAAAAAATACAAAGTTACACACATTTAAATCTCACAACTTTTAGCAAAGGACCGACTAGTATATTGATTTGGAGTATTTACTTCTTCAGATAAGATCTTGAGTTTGAATCCTAGCATTCATATAGTGTGTGAGTTTAATATATTATTACCCCTCTCAATAAAAAAATGTCCTAAATAAAATAACATAAAAAATCACACAACTTTTGGGACGCTTCTTTGTCTCTTAAGTGTATTGGCATAATTTCACCTAATTAATCTGAAACGCTTGGAGGGGGAAATAAAAGACCTCAAAAAAATGTTGGGGGGGCGGGGGGCGGGAAGTGCACAATATATTTCACAAATAATTCTTAATCTGCAGCATATTGCTAACAAATTCCGTACATCTTAAATTACATTTACCACTGCTTCTTCTGATATTTTCAATGATTGGAACAGAGATCAAAAAAATTAAAAGACAAAAATTATATATTAAAAAAGAATACCACCAAAATGAGAGGAGAGGATTTATCTTCAATCCATCCATTCATTTTCCAATTGCGGGGGCACATGAAACCCTGGTTGATCATTTAGGCTGTAACCATATCATCTTCCCCTCTCTGTGCTGCCGCATCTGCCAGTTTTTTCCATGTCAACTCCCGTTGTTCTTCCACCTCTCTGGACCTCGCCTCTCTCTCCGCAAGCTGCCTCTGGCACTCTTCAAACAAGTCAGCATCCATTTCCAAAAACATTTTTCGAACATTGACGGTCAGACCGTGAACTGCTTGGTTCCAGTGACTTTGGATATTCCTCTCCAATGCCTCAAAAATAATTGGTAGAGTGACATTCCGGTTCTGAGCAATTAAACCCACAATGTGCTCATTATTCCACAGAAAGAGTGCTCGTTCCGCAACCTGCATTGCAAATGTGACTAAGCAAAATTTTCAAGAAAGACTATTCTTAGAGTAAAATACAACTTTAGAAGTTTTGATTTGGAGTCTGATCCCTTCACCAATTCATTAATGACGAACATTTGGAAACATTAGTACAAAGTCCTAACAACATTACTCTTATCAGATCAACACAAGTTAACTCAAAATTAACAAATATTACATTTATATAGTCCTGACAACATTACTCTTATCAGATCAACACAAGTTAACGCAAAATTAACAAACATTACATTTATATAGTCCTAACAACATGTCCCTTCACCAAATTAACACAAATTACTCTTATCAGAAAAATTGCTTCAAGCCAACAACATTCATAACACAAGACAGGAACCCAATTAAAAATTTCCAATCTTTTACCTCCTTAATTCTTTTCATTGACATTTGTAACTTGTTTAATAGAACACCAAAATTTAGCCTCACGTGCAGCACTAAGCACATGCATAACAGCA